ACACAGTGCCACGTAAGCAGTGCCACATCAGCAGTGCCACGTCAGACACAGTGCCACGTAAGCAGTGCCACGTCAGCAGTGCCACGTCAGACACAATGCCACGTAAGCAGTGCCACGTAAGCAGTGTCACGTCAGACAGTGTCACGTAAGCAGTGCCATGTCAGACAGTGCCACGTAAGCAGTGCCATGTCAGCAGTGCCATGTCAGCAGTGCCACATCAGACAATGCCACGTCAGATACAGTGCCACGTCAGCAACATGACGGGCCTGCCAGGCCAACTGGCCAATGAGCCCATTGCCGACTACAAAAAGCGCTTCCAGGCTCAGCTCGTTGCAATCGAGGCTAAGGAACAACGCCAGCTGGCAGTCAAGGCTGCCCAGCTACAGGCTGAAGAAGCGGCAACAGCAGAGAAGATGTGGCTACAGGCCAAAGCAGACGCAGATGCCCAGGTTCGCCGCAAGGAAGCCCAGGATCTGCTGCAGCGGCATGAAGCAGCCAGCATCGACAAACTCAAGTTTTGGCACTTTGAACCGAACGGCGACGAGGCAACACCGGAAGAGCAGCATAGGGAGTTCCTCTCCAAACTCGTGACACGGTTGTTGTGTGCTTGCAACTACCAATGGTCCGAGTTGGAGAAGCAGTACCAGAACCTGACGCAACAGCATCAGGAGTTGGCGAAGCTCCGCCACACAGTGCAGAGCCACGAGGACGCAACTCGGGCACTCAATGCCTGAATGTTGGACCTGGAGAAGGCTGCACCAGGACCAGCTGCTGGGGCTTCCAGCGGTGCATCCTCTAGCCACCAACTAGAGGAACGCGTTGACCACGTAGTGGAAATGCTCGGCGACATCAGCACCTTCGCTGCGCCGACCACCATCAGCAGTCAGCTGCATACCTTGAAGACCGAGGTCTGACAGTTGCAGTCTACAAGCGCGGATGACAATCCGAAGATGTACAAGATGCCAACTTTCCAACTGGACAAGTTCGACAACTACACGCAGCAGGATCCGGTCCTCTGGTGGGAAGCATTCACAACGCAACTCAGGATTCTGCCCGTAGCCAAGCATGCGTACATCGGCGCCCTGTACTCAACCTTCGCTGAGATCATTGACAAGGCGAGGGAAATCATCAAGACCAACAGGTCAGCTGCACACGAGAAGTCAACATGGAAGCCGACCTATGTGGAGAAGGTACGAACTGGTCCGCGACAGCAGCACTTCGCTGCAGTCTAGTCGGACAGTGGAGATAACCCAGCAGCCACTCCAGCATCAAGTGACGGAGATCAGGTGGCTGCTGTTTAGCCGCGAAGCAACAACAAGTCCCGCAATAATGGGAAGGCGAAATCCGCATCGCAGGCCGGAAATGGACAGCCAGTACAAGTTCCATGGGTCAAGTTCGGCTTGACTGAGGCGGAGTACAAGGTCCGCGGCCGCTACGGCAGCGGCTATTGGTGCAACAACACCAAGCACAAGACCTCCCTGTGCCAAGATCAGGGCAAGGAGGATGTGCGACCCCGCCTCAGCTCGGGAAACTGAGCTCCGCGGAAGGTGAGGCGACTCCACCTTCTACTCCGCCAGATTCGGCCGCTTTGCTAGCGGCCTCCTGCGCATCTGGGGAGAACGTGAATGTCGCAAGTTCTCGTTACACTTACGAGGACTATGTTGTCCACTTGGTTCCACCGCTGGACCAACCGCTCCACGTGCAACAATCTACCGCATGCACGGTTTCATCACCATCGGCAACCGATTCGGCAGCTTCGCGGCCATCTATCGTCGGGGATTCATCGTCATGGTCAAGACTTGAGGTGCTCGACCCATTGACGTTCACGGACTTCTAGTGGATGCCCGTTCCCCCGACCGAACGATTGCCGAAACCGCATTGCAATGTGCTCATGGCACAACTGCGGGATTACTTGCACACTGCAGTACCAGCTCCGTTGATGGACGTCGGAGTAGAGGTTGTCGACCTTCACGTTTACATTGCGAAGATCAACCGCGAGTTCAAGACGCAACGGTACGACGACATCGGCGCACCATTGCTATATGTACGCATTCAGATCGGAGAGGCGACCTGCAACGCCTTGATCAATTGCGGAGCATCTCTCAACTACATCAGCTAGGACTTCATGGTGCACGCCAGCCTTGGCCCACGCGTTCGGAGGAAGTCCCAGCCTACGCAAGTCACGTTGGCGGACGGTCACACGCACAAGTCCATCGACCGGTGCATTGACAACGTCCCAGTGTACTTTGCCCCTCACGCAAGTGAGGCGGTGTCCTTCGACAATCTGGACACCAAATTTGACATGATCTTGGGCATGTCATGGCTGCGAAGCGAGGATTACCCGGTGAACTTCTTCCACCGCACCGTTCACATTCGTGATCGGAACGGAGTACTAGTTCCATGCACTGTGCCTCTTCCTCATCCTTCGATCAGCTGCCATGTGGTATCCGCCGCAAGCATGCGAGCTTCCATCATCAGAGACGACATCGAGGAGATGGAGGTGTGTTTTCTCCACGCCCTCCCGCCCCATGGCGCTTCATCAACGGACTCACCTTCGGATCCACGCATCACCGAGCTTCTCGACGCCTACAGCGACGTGTTCGAAGGCCCACACGGAGTAGTACCGGATCGACCTATCCGCCACGAGATCATCCTCGAGGACGGGGCCGTACCTCCGCGCGGTTGCATCTACCGAATGAGCGAGGAAGAGTTAAGTGTGCTTCGGGCACAACTCGACGACCTTCTGGAGAAAGGCTGGATTCGGCCTAGCTCATCGCCATACGGTGCTCCTGTTCTCTTCGTCCGGAAGAAGAACAAGGA